GTCAGGGTGCACCTGTGATGAGGGCTGGGAAGCCGCTAGTGCAGCTCAGGGAGTGAGCCCAACACAGCCCCGGCCAGGGCCTTGGGAGGCCCAGCTAGGCGAGGATCCCAGGATTCCCGCCAGTGGACTGACGCTGTCTGCATTATCTTCCTGTAGGGGAGTGCAGTAACAAGGAATGCCCCTTCCTGCACATTGACCCGGAGTCCAAGATCAAGGACTGCCCGTGGTATGACCGCGGCTTCTGCAAGCATGGTATGTGTCTGTGGGCTGGACCCAGCAAAGCCCCTTCTCTGCCCATGTGACCTTGAGATTATCAGGTGTAGGGGTGTCCCCCTGGCAGGCATCTCTCACCTGCCAGTCTGTGGCCAAGAAGATAGGGCATTCTGGGACTGGGGAGGCACGACCACCACCTATGGGCCCTGCCACTGTCCCATGACACTGATGCCCACCAGCTGGCTGCAGCTTGGGCAGATGGCAGGAGGGTGCCCGTGGTTGGGCGGCTTGTAACCAGGCACTGGGCTCTACAGGTCCCCTGTGCAGACACCGGCACACGCGGAGAGTCATCTGTGTGAATTACCTCGTGGGATTCTGCCCGGAAGGGCCCTCCTGTAAATTCATGCAGTGAGTAGCCGGTGTGCATGCGCACCTACTGGGCTCCCCACCCGCCCTGCCCTTGATGCCCTGCCTGGGTTTTGGTTCGCAGCAGAGGGGGCTGTCCAGAGGCAGTGCAGGCTGGCCTCATTTGGGCTTTATTGGGGTTCAGCCCCGCCTGGGAATCTAGTGAAACCCTGGGTGTCAGTTTAAAACAGGACAGGGGGCTACCCTGGTGTTGTCCCTGCAATGCTCCTATCACAAGAGCTAGGGGGGGCGGAGGAGAGGTGTGCCCTGACTTCAATTGCTGGTCCGTGGCTCTTTGCAGCCTGGGGGCCAGTGCTCCTCCCCCACACCCGTCACCTTGTCTGTGGGGGACCAGCCTCCATAACCAATAGGGTCCTAAAGAGCAGTTATGCAATGAAAAAGAAAGAAAGGACAACAGAAAAGATGCATGCAAGGGTTCACCTCTTCCATGAAGTCTGGGACCAGAGAGAGCGCTCCTGTATTCTCCGACAGGTTTATGTAATTATCAGGCATGCAAGCCACATCATACACATGTAACATGAAGGGCACGTGCTAGAGCGCCGGTTCTCAACCTGTGGGTCAAACGACCCCTTTCATAGGGGTCACCTGATTCATCACAGTAGCAAAATGAGTGTTATGAAGTAGCAATGAAAACAATCTTATGGTTAGGGGGTCACTACGGGAGGAAGGTCGAGAACCACTATGCTAGAGGCACACAAGGAACAGGAGAGGGAGGTACTAGGAGCCACATATGTAACAGGGTGGCATGTCCTACGACCACGGCTGTCCCTGAGCATTCCCCAGGGGAGCAGTCAGTGTTCTTTCTCAGAAGGAAGTGGGCTATGCTTAGGGTGGGGTGGACAATAGGGTCTGAGAGCTCTCTCTGACAGTCTTCAAGCTTATAGTAAGCAGCCATGAGCTTGGGAGAACCATCTTAAGAAAAAAATAAAAATTGATTTAAAAAAAAAGGCATCTTAAGATTGGCATTACAGGGGCACAGTGTGGGGAATAACTTTCAGTTAGAATGTGACTGGGAGTCATCTCCCACTCACAAATGTGAAGGTCTTCCTCCACCAGAGTCTGTCTCCCAGGCTCTTAATTATGAGGGTAGAGAATTTGCAGACACTCTTCCCACTTCTCCGTTTCACACTTGTCCTCTGAGCTGGGGTGACCTGCCCCTTCTGCCGGTTGTGGAGTCTGCTGCGCCCAGTGGCCACCAAAGGTCATCCTCCTTGAACCAGTTAATGGGTCAGAACTCTTCTCCCAACCAGCTCCTGTGCACATAGCCCCTGTGGCCAGCTTGTGGGGCCCCTTATTTCTGAACATGCAGGCTTCGCAGATCGAGGTGGGACCCAGATCTATTGGTTCTGTGTCTCCCGCCTACCCACGTGGCCCTGTGCTCGGGCAGGGTTGGGCCAGAACTGTGGACAACCTGTGCGGAGCCTCCTCTCACAGCCTTCTCTCCCACCTGCCTCTCAAACAGCCCTCGGTTTGAACTGCCCATGGGAGCCACCGAGCAGCCCCCGCTGCCACAACAGACTCAGCCCCCAACCAAGGTACCGTGCCTGCCTCATCGCCCGCATTAGTTTGGGCCAGCAACAGGCCCTCAGGGCCCCCTTACTGTGCGGCCACCTGAGACCCGCCTCCTAAGGAAAGCGGGAGGGGGCACCAGGAGTCTGTCAGCTAGGGCCAACTTCCCACTGGATCTCTGCCCTTGTGGTCTGGAAAGGCCTGGAACTCAGCACCTGGAACGACAGACTGAAAGCTGAGACACCCAACACACACCGGTGGAGGTGGCATGTCTCTCAAGGCCACACTAGGCAAGAGTAGACCTGAGGTGATCAGCTCTCTGTCCTAGGCCGTTGCTCTCGTGGGGGCCTGGGGAAGGAGGGCTACAGAGGTAACTGGCCCCGGTTTTCCAGCCAAGGGCTCCTGTCAAGCCTGGCAGTTCCCACCAGTGAGAGATTGAAATGCCAATGAACAAGTTGTTCGTTGAAAGGCTAACAGGCACCTCTCGCCCCCTCCCCAAGCAAGGGCACCTGGGTCTGGCTATGGGGATTAGGGCTGGGGGGGGCGGGGTGCACGCAGGAAGGGTTAGGTGGGGTCTGAGGAACCCCACTCACCTATCTTGAAGTCTCCCAAAGTCATCTGGTCCCTGGGTGTTGGAGGCTGAGTGGGGCAGGGGGGCTGGTGCTACAACCTAAAGGAGGTTGCAGCGGAAATCCAGCAGCCTAGAGCTGCTGCTGCGGGGGCAACAGTGACGCCCCTGAGGGTTTCTAGCTGGGGAGGCCTGTGTTTTGGGGTGGAGCCAGGAGCCCCCCTTGGTTGGGAGGTGGCCCTGCTGCCGAGGCCCTACCCCCAACTTGCCCAGCCCCCACGGTGGGCCTTCAGCCCCAAGCCAGAGGGTCAGGCTCCAACTGTTTTTCTGTGACTGTCGCTCGCCGTGTAGGCTGCGAAACATCTGGCTGAACCAAGCGTTCATCCTGACCTGAAGCTAGAACCAGAAAGACAAACGTAAGGCCTGCCCACGCCGCGCCGCGCCCCGCCCAGAGACCTCTCTTGTCTCCCTGGTGTTTTCTTTTCCACTTTTCTGTTCTGTTTTTGTGTGTCTGCATGGCGTTTTTCGGGCAGCGGCTCCGGCCACCACAGATGCTGCTTGTTGGCCAGCTCTCCAGAGCGAGGCACCATGGGAGCCTTCTTTCCTGCCGGTCAGGCGGGGGCAGTCGGCCACCTTTCTCCCCACCCCATCGGTAGTCTGCGTGCACGCGTGTTCCGCAGTAAAACCGTGTTGTGTGACTCTTTCCAGCAAAGTAACAATCCGCCATTACAAAGGTCGTCCTCCTTGATCCAGTTAACGAGTCAGAACTCTTCTCCCAACCAGCAGAGAGCCCCACAGGTCATCGGGGTCATGCAGAGTCAGAACAGCAGTGCAGGCAACCGGGGACCCCGGCCGCTGGAGCAGGTCACCTGTTACAAGGTGAGTGCGGGACCCTGACACAAACCATCATCAGTGCTTTTGCGGGCTGTGAGGTAAAGCGGGGCTGGCAGCCTCCCCAAGCCCTGGCAACCATGGACCATGGCATCGAGGCAAGCCACCCAAAGCACCCCGCTGACTGAGTGGGCTGTTTGCTAGAAAATGAGGAAGCAGTCCTAGGCGGAAAATCCTGAGTACTGGCTGTCCCAGGTACAGGCTGAAGGCTGGGCCCAGGTGGGGGGCATCAGGCAAGCACTGCCCCACATGGAGGGGGTACCTAGTCAGGAGGAGTGGTGAGATGAAAAACTCTGAGCTTGGGCCTGCCTTTCCACCACAAGGGGTTTGAGGAGCTAGATTGAGATTTCTAATCTAAAGTAGACCTGAAAATAGGATTCCCCAAGGGAGAGAATGGGTTAATAATTTAACATCACAAAGTAGATAACTGATTGAGTCCGCTGAAACCGCCAACAGCCACGACTTCAGATTCTGGAATTGTCAGGTCAAAATGACAAATTAGTGCGTGTTTTTGGAAACACTTCAGATGAGAACTGTAATTAGGGCAGGGGAATGGGTGCCCCTCTTAAGCTGCCCTTTCCTACAATAGCCGTTTTGTGTCAGACTGGGTTTAGCACCTACCCTCGCAGATCCCTAAAGAGGGTCCCACGGGCAGAGCTGCTCTTTGGAACCTCCATCGCTGTGTGTACACGTACTGCACCGTGTCACGATTAATTAGGCTGAAACCAAGGCACACAATGGATGGAGTGGGAGCGGAACCTGGCCTGAGTGCGGTAGACCCCCCTTTCCTGTGGGGGGCGCCAGATGCCTAGATCCTCTCCTGGTCAGAGCCCAAGCCCTACAGTGCAGTGAGTGGGGCTCAAGTGCCGGCAGCAGCAGACACGGTGGGACACCTGCTACTCCAAGCAGACGGCAGGCAGGGGCCCGGGTCTGGTTGCCTCGTACCCGTCTGTTTTTGGGGTATGTCAGGAAACTTGGTTGCCACCAGGCCCCCCTCAAGTCTTCAGCAGGGCTTCCCGTGAGCCCTGACACCTCCTAGCAGGGTTGGTGGGGGACCTGACCACCTTTTGGTTGCCCAGGAGCAGAGGCTGGGGAACGGGCTGAGTGCTGTGAGAGGCCCTGAGGTCCTTCCCAGGGGTCATCGTCAGGAAGCCACTTGCCCACCAACACAGTACACTGACACATCAGATGTTTGTTGACCGAGACTGTGGGGCAGGCAGGAGCCTCTTGCTGCAGGGTGTCCGCATGTCTCCCGAGGCCTCTTGACCCTCACTTAGCAAATCCCCTCTAGAATGACGAGGGAGGGGGAGGGAGGAGCTGGGAAGGGCCTGGATGAGGCAGACAGCTCTGGTTTGGCAAGGCAATTTTACTGGCCCACACACACCTCTACTCAACCATTGCCTGGTGCCCTCTGACCTATCCCAGGGTGGCCTAGGTGGAGGGTGGGAAAGCATGAGCTAGAGGGGAACAGGTGCAGCAGGCCCTGGGCCACCGCCATGAGTTCCAGTTGGGTGAGGCCAGTGCCTTCTCTGGCGCTGTCCCTCCCAGGAGCCCAATGGTGCAGAGGTAAGTGACCATCCTGCCTTGCCCAGGTAGCCCAGGCTACCTACAGGTGGCACAAGTGGGTGGGGGGCAAGCTCCCAGGTGGTGGTGGTAGGCCTCTGCAGGGCCTGACACGCACAGACCACAGCACACATCCCCACCTGCTGCTCTGGGTGCTACCTAATGGAGCCATTTGAGACCCTTTTGTTTTTGTCTCCTTGCTGTCCCCAGTGTGGTGAGAAAGGACACTACGCCAACAGATGCACCAAAGGCCATTTGGCCTTTCTCAGTGGACAGTGACAGCAGCTGGAGCCACCTCAGAGGGGCCTGAGGGGCCTGTCCTCGGGGCTGTGCTGACAGCTGGGTGCTGGTGGTGGGCAGCCCTGGTGAGACTTGAGCAGGCACAGCAGGCCAGTCCTCGGAACGGCTGCGGCCATTCGTTCACCCGTTTCGCTGTAATCTTTTTTTTTTAAAAAAAGGGACAAGGGCTCCTTTTGTGACCCTGAGCCAGCCCATTTGTCTAGGCACTGCAGCCTCTGGGCAGGAGTCAAGCCCAGTGTGAGGAAAGGCTTGTGCTGTGCCCTGTGTGGACGGTGGCACCCTTTGGGGTCTCACTAAGGACCAGTTCTTGGTGCCCCAGGGGCCAGGCTGGCCTCCCAGACCTGCTGAACTCGAAGCTGTGCCTGCCAATGTGATAGAGGAGGAGGTGGCCCAGGGCAGAGCAACGGAGAGGTACAGGGCTCTCCCCTGGGCGATTCTACTGGGACACCTACAGGACCACCTTGACCCAAGGACCCAGAACATCTGTGCTCCACCTCAGGCAGCTGGTGGGTCAAGGCCACTCTGCCCAGGGACTCAAAAATGTGAAGCCGTCAGCTGCAACCTGTTGGCCCAGTGGGCCTTTCAAAGTCCAAGGACGATTTTTATAAGCTTGATTAAAGCTTCGTTTTCTAAGTTGTGTCTCATTTAAGGATGTGATGGGGTGCATTCTCACCCCCCTCCCCTGGTAATGCTGGTACTGGGCATAAAGTTGGGGCTTTTGAGGGGCCACCAGGCAAGGGGTCTCCTGCAGATGTTTGGAATATTGGATGACCTTAATTCAGAGACAGCACAGCAGACCACATGCCTATTGCCATGTGGCTTTCATTGAATATCTTTGATTGGGAGGTACAGCTGTCTATAAGCTTCAAACTCAAGTCATCTGAGCTTCCTGCAACTGAAGCTTACCTGTTGGTTACATTTTGGGCTGCTAACCACAAGTTCAGTAGTTCGAAACTTTATTCCTGTAAAGAATTAGTCTCAGAAATACACCAAGACAGCTCTACCCTGCCCAGTGAGTTTCAGTGTTGGACTTGGGAGCTTTGGTGGCACGGTGAGTGTGCACTGGGCTGCTCCAGAGACTGGCTTTCTACTCCTGCAGGGAGCTGCAGTCTCATAAACACGGGGGCAGTGTGCCCTGCCTAGAGGGTCACTGTGAGTCAGAGCTGAGTGAGAATGCTTGCCTGCTCCCTGGTAAGGACCCACCTCCTCTGGTTCCTACTGTAAACCTGTCCACTCCTGGCAAAGAGCAGGGATCGAGTGCTGAATGACACACAACCTCCAGCTGGCTGGACCCCATGGTGCACTGGGAAAACGTCCAACTCAGAGCCCTGAGCTGCAGTCTCCCCAACCCATTCCTAGCGTGCAGGGGAAACAGCCCAGTCAGACAGCACACATATCTGTCATCTTTTATTGGGCACATTCTCAAGGGCTCTTGCTGGGGGGAGGGGCTGGGCAAGTGGCCAGTCCAGGAAAGCAGGCGGCACTCTTGCCGCAGCTTCA